GTTCATCTAGTAGATCAATATTTATAATTATATATCGACTATTATTATTGCGTTTACGGTTAGATGACTGATAACTCTTCTGACCTCTGGAGAGACGGGGCTTAAAACCCCACAGGTCAAAACTAGAGCGATATGACGGTCGAATAGACGTTCCTCCGACAGACCAGCCTCCTGTAGCAGTCTCACAAAGTTAACGCATCCTCTTTACAAGTCTAATAAGGACGGGCTAGTAAATATATTCCATATTTTGACCATCGAAAACGATAAGCTCCATCCCTGTCTCGCATGAGATGCAGTGGTGGGTTGCACGTAAATTAGTTTATAATGTCGCATTCACTCCCCCCCTCCCTAGTCAACCTTACTCCGGTGAAGATCCAAAGTCCGGATGGTCAGAGGTCGGCGTGAACGTAGGGATGGACATGGGTTATCAGCCCGTCTATGCATGCCAAACACAAGACACAGTGTCCATATAGTGTGCCGGGCTCCTGTTATGATGGGGTAAGTATGCAATAAGGCTCATGTTAAGAAGAAGCCATTTATGTCCGACTCGAACTCCTAAGAAAAGCCAGGTTATTCCGTCAGTGGACAACCTCTCAAACAATGACTCTTTGTGTGTCATGATAAACACCTTCAGATTTATAACGGAAGGATTATGCTGGGTTGTTGGCTCGCTCGTGTGGGCATCATTCTGCCTTCCCATCTGCCGCGCACTAGGCAACTATCCGAACCTGTTAGATCACAGTTGCCCTAAATCCACTGCAAAAAGGTCCTCAGTTCCACGAATTCAACACTGTTTCTCATCAAGCGCGCCCTCATAAGCCTTAACGAAGAGTACTCTGGTAAGGTATGCACAGCATTTTTGCGACCACAACTGGAATACGCTCTCTTCAGGCATGGAAATCATGAGCTGAGAAGGAAAGCACAGCTTTCTAAAAAGCAAAATGGCACGACACTCTGTTGATAAGAGGACTAGGTTTTTTGTCCTACAGAAAACAACTTTGAATTTTGAATCTATTCCTTTTAAGTTATAAGAAACTATAAAGAGAATTTTATATTGACGGGTCGCAGCATCCGAGGCCCGGATTGTTGCCTTACCGCAACCATCCCGCGCGGACGTCTTTTTCAACTGCGCATGGGGTACGTCCCGGCTAAATGCGTAGCATTTCTTCTCGGGTAGGGTCGCAGAGGCCTGAAACGCCCTTCTGGAGCACACTGAAATGTCAGAAAGTGTTGAATTATTCAGGAAGAGCCTTGATCGCCACATAATTTTATTAAACCTCACCGTTGCATAAACCTTACGTCTGTAATTCAGCTTTGACCATCATGTTACTAAAAATTCATCAGTAGCAATAGTAGTTACGATGGAAACATTCCAGTTAATGGTTGTCGAATTTTATTTGTAATCTGAGCACAAGAGGAGTTTGAAAGCTAACGCCTACCTCTTTCCTCCAATAAAACTGAAGGTCACACAAGATCATCCAGCTGCACTGACAAACCTCAGCACGCACATGACAGTTCAGTCGTCCTTATCAGCGTAACTGAATCAAACGGTAAAATCGATGTATGCGCGACAAGTGCTTTAAGTGTATGCGCATACTGCAGGCTGATAGGGTTTGCCCGTTGTGGTAATGACGGGGGTATCTTGTGTTTAAGAAGCCCGGTTTGTCGTATTGGAATTGTGGCAGATGCGAAAATGTGCCCTGAGGACAATCAGTGCCCTAAATGTCAGTTGTCAATGTGGCTGTTGGCATTTTGTATCATTGCAGTCCTTTTTTGCATGCTCGCCATTTAGCCTTAATAGCTGCTTCAGTTTTTAAGGTATTTCGCCAGACCCGGCGAGCCCCTGCAACGCCTTTTCAGGTTCTCTGAATGATCTGTGGTGGCCTGAGAAAGACTGCTATCGTGACCTTTTATCGGCAATATTAGTCTAATTTTTACACGAGTAATGCATAGTCATGCTGCAGCAAACTAGCCATCGGAATAGGTGCCTGCCAGTCACCTTCTCGACGTGACCGTTCCAACGCAGTTGAATTCACCTCAAAGTGACAACATTTTAAGGGTACGAGCTGGTTTCAGAAACCAGCTGTCTGCGCCTGGAAGCTTATACTACTATTAATACTACTAATGCCAGTTTAGGGAGGAGGCATTACGCCGCTATTCTACAAAGTTGACTGCTTTTGGCTTAAGTGGCCATTAATACTCCAGGGCGAACCATTAAGAAGCCAGATCTCGGAGATTTACTTCTAAGTTCTTAAACCAATAATGACTGCCAATAGTGTAGAATATGCGAGTTCTCTTATGTCCTCGTAGAATCTATACCTATAGCTGTTTAATTGTAAGCCTGTCAGTGTAATATAATATGCTTCAACTAGGCACATAGGTTATTCACGTACTATTCTAGTCTTCGGACCAGCTAATTTCCATAACTTTACCAAAATACTAAAAAAATAGGGAAATAAATCGGACCTACGGATGATATGACCACGGAAAGCCCCACTCGGTTCTACCCTAATTTCATTATCAGTACTTTTCTTTGCTTCCTAGGGGCTGCTTGCTGGGGGCTGGTTTAAATACCAGCGCCGGTGTTGGACGCAGAAAGAACGCCACCCGGGAAAGCACTTCCACCCTGAAGGCCTGGTTGCAGGAACACATTAAGAACCCTTACCCCACCAAAGGCGAGAAGATAATGCTAGCCATCATTACAAAAATGACCCTAACTCAGGTATCCACCTGGTTCGCCAATGCCCGACGTCGACTGAAAAAGGAGAATAAGATGACCTGGACCCCACGTAATCGCACTGAAGAGTCCGATGACCCCGACGATAGGAAATTCGGCAGAACCAATTCCGAAGACAGCCAGAAGGGTGCCGGCGGAGACTCGGGTTCCTTTAATTCTGAACATCCTCACAAGGTCTTCTCCGAAGCAATTACTGGAGCTGAAGCTGAAGATGAGGCAGAAGAGGATGAGGAGGAAGATGGGGGTGAAGAGGAGGAAGAGGAAGAAGAAGAAAGGGACGCGGAGGAGGAGGAGGAGGAGGAGGAAACTTCCCTTCCTGCCAACACCGCTTCCGACACTGACGGATTCCCAGCCTACCACTCGGTACTGGGTGCAAACCAAACAGGCTACAATCCCGGTGGCCCTCCCTATTCTTTCTCTTGTGGGTATGCAGTCGACCGCGCTGAACCAGACAGTTCCTTGTCCCCTGAGGCGAGCGGGCAACAAAGTCTCCGTCAGTCAAGCACACTGCATTGGTTCAATGCAGGAGACCCAGGCAGCCAAGTAAGTCGCCTGTCTCATCCGGCCCTGACCTTCACAGAGAGCCCCACTCATCATCCGAGAGGCGGTCTTCGCGATACCTACACCACCGCGCCGCAAAAGTTCCCTGCACTACCAGAGGCCGGTTCCGCAGGATTAGTGCATACCTCATGTAAGTTCATCATTTGGCGCGTATGCATCGTCTTCTTGGGAGACTCTATTCAAATAATCCAGAGGATGTGGGACAACTGGTCTATTGAGGCAACGTAAAGGGTACTAACTGATACGTTCCAGTGGTAGATCCCGTCCACAGGTTCTGGTATT